GCTTTCTCTCTTCGCTCAGTGAATCACGATTTCCCTCTGGGTTGCTGCTGTAACGGTGACAGGAAATGGATTGGAATAATGCACCACCGTATTTACTCCAGTGATCTCTGTACCCGGATGATTTCCGAGTACACAAGAAAATGCAGGTTTTCCTCGTTGTTTGAAATGTAACAGACAGTAATGCTTTTCCCTGTGGAGTGGGACTCAGTCTCTGCTCAGCCTGTTGATGAAATCACAGCGTATCTGCAGCAAGAGATGAAATTTCATCTGAACTATTATTTTTAGAAAAATCGAAAAAGGTGGTCTGTGCAGTGCTATCAGTCCTGCGAATGTGATCTTTTTGTCCTTTAGCCATCGGTAAGTTTCATGTTACACACCCAAAGATCACAGAGTATAGACATATTATTTATGCTGCTCTAATTTTGGAATGAAGGTGTGGTGAAAGGTGACTTTTAATGTCTTACACCCTATGTCCCAGCTCTCTCTGTATCTCTCTGTCAGGCATCCAGTACTTACTGTGCAATCCCGGATTATGTCATACCTTTGCAGTGACTGGTAATTGATATATTTAACCTGACTGCACATTCTGGATTCTTTAAAATGGATGTTGTTAGGTTTTGAAGAACGCCACAATTTTGGTCGAAGAAATTTGAAAGTGTTTTATTTTAATGAATCTTACTAATTAACACTCATTAGATGTCGTAACAAGGTACATATATTAATGAAATAGCTTGGTCCGTGTCTCTATGAGGTTTCTGCTTGCATATTTTATGATGGAAAAGTTACTTTACAGGCCACATTAATGTGTCAAAACAGTTGAATATGACACAAAAAAGGTTAAAACAGTATTTAGTATTCTTGGTTTGTGGATATGAATATTGGGATTTTTTTGGTTATTGATGTACAAATTATCATGTTTGTCAAAACTGTGGCTCTAGTGTGTCAAACAATGTAGTCTGTATTGGTCCAGTCAGTGGACACCGCTAAGCTACATTTTCTTTCTTCACTGTCCTCTGGCCTGCTGTGTTTTGTCTTGTAATAAGACAGAGGTTGTTGAGCCCCTGTACTCTCTGTGTCTCTGTCTAGTTCTCACACTCCAGCTAATTTTGTACTTGTATGTTTGGCTGTAAACCACAGCTCACTCACTCAGGATGTGACCTAAACCCTTCTTCTGTCTTCTGAGTCAGCTGCATACAATGACAAGGACATGAAAATGAGGAGAAAGAAAAACAGTTTTCCTGGCCAGGAATTCCTATCTTGTTTTTGTTGTATTTTAGGCGTCATTAATAATTATCAACAAAACAAAATAAAAGACAGTCTAGACATTCTATGCCATTAATATTAAGTGGGATTTTATAGTGATGTCTGAGAAATAAATAAGCTTTTAGGAAAAAGGCTTTAAGGCCTAATTTATGTCTTAATTTCTCATTCCACAAATTATTTTTGTCAGTCCGCTGTGTAGGAAGTGGAGACGTTCATCTCTCCCACTTAGACAAACACATATAACCACACACAAGTGCGAAATATCTACACTGCCAGACAACGTTGTGCAGACAGACACAAGACGTGTAGCCTCGGGCTAGAGCCAGAACGTCTCCTAGATACTTTTAGAAAATCCACCAGGCTTTTTCCACCTTGGCGTAGGAGTTCATGTTTTCTATTTTACACGGTTTTTACCTGCCAGTGAGTGGTGCAAATGTTTGTTTTCTCACCACTTGTCCAGGAACACTATTGTTTCACTGTCATCAATATTTACCAGGTGGAGTTCGGAGTGTGTGAGAGTTGGAGGGAATCCTCGACTGGGGACTTGTTTCATCCTAACCCCATTCTGTCTGAGCTGGGAGAACGGGGTCTAGAGGAGTAAGCGAGGGGAAAATGAGAAAGAGTTCATTGTAGTTTCTCATTGATGGATTTTGGACGTTCCTCACATTGCAAGGGTTTTTTCATCAATGTAGGTATTGATCTCAAAAGACCCAGGTGAGCCGCAAGGTGAGAATTGAATCAGGGTTCTCATTTAGCTGCAAACCCAATAAATAACAATATCGATGTATTCTGTGACATCACAGTCTGCAAGCTGTTTCGTTCTGCCTGCCGGGCCCTTAACAAAATTTCCACATTTTTTTTTATTGCAATAGGGATTGGCACTTTCATAAGAGCTGCTATGTGATAAAATCAAATCCGTTCACTGCTTATGTTGGCTAAGGGCCCTTCAATTACTCAACTCCCTAAGCCAGGAAGTATTTGGGAGAGAGGAGAACAGGAGGGGGAATAACAGGTAAACAACAAAGCAAATCTTGTCATAGCCTTGCTGCAACGTTAAGCATACATCATTAATCAACCACATGCGTGTAACTCAACAGGGACGTTGAAATAATCACATCAGATTATGAAACGGTTCACATCCATGAATCAGTTTCTCTGTACTGCTAATGTTTTGGGGTTTTTTTTTATCCAGTGGGAGAATTGAGCACATTGGCCTGTAAGCAGTGTATATCACAGTCGGCCTCACTTCCTCTCTCACTTCTGTTTAACATGGATAAATGTAAACCCGTCCGGCTGCTCTGATCTAATCAGCAACTTAAAATAAATACAATTTGCCTAATTCTACTGGGTTCTATTATGATGGTTCAGGTTCTCATTTAGAGTTTTGTTATTTTAGTTATTGTTATTTAGTATTGAGTCTATCTATAAACATTAAAAAAAATAGGTAGGTATAGGTATCTAGGAAACCAAATAAATAGACTGGTACTCTTTACATGAATATTGTGGTTGCAAGATACACCATGATGCTTGTTCAGTTTACTTGCTACATTTTACATTTATTTTAAAATTCCAAGTGATTAATTTAGTAATACTTTTTTGTCTTTGGCACAGTGAGACTTTAGCAAAAAAACTGGAGAGGTGACGTTGGAAACTTTTTGGTGCTTAAACATAATGCTGATTTATTTAGATAACAAATAATAATAATAATAATAATAATAATAATAATAATAATAAAGCAAAGAAAGAGTCTGTGGGTCTTGTGAGCAAAATGGGAACTTAAATCGTTTAATGAGAACTGTGTTGTTAAAGTAAAACCCAGTGGCGGGTCAGAAAGGACTGCACAGAACCCATTGCTGGAATGATGTTGGTCTGATAGCAACTCACTTAGAGTATCGACATCCCTCGCCCTGAATGTGTGTTTTAGTTTGTCCATATTGAATCTGTTGCCCTCAAAGCTTATCTCTATAAATGGATTTGTGTTGCTGCTGTTGGAGATCTCAGTATGATAGTCTTATCTGATTGACCCCAACCTCAGAAAAGGCGAAGCAGTCCAGTGGTTGTCTGCAGCAGTGTGTAACAGTCTGTAGATGTAGTGAGGAGGTGAGTGAGGTATCCATCTGTGTTTGAGCCTGTGCTGGTCACGTTGCCCCCATATGTTTCCAGCTGAGCTCAGAGCTTTGTTGCGGAAATAGCAACAGTGTGAGAGTTGTGATGAAAGCGTGTTTTTTCTAACCCTGCAGCTGTGAATCTCACACCTGTAAAAATCTCCATGTTTTACTAGAAAAGCTCATTACGGACTTGAGAGGATTTGCAAAAAAAGTAGAATTCTGTCTGACTTAAGAACCTGACGGTCCCTGATTCACGATTTAATCAATTCTGCTTACAAACGTGTTGTTTCCTAATCTAATTTATTATTGTAAAATCTCCATTAACCTCTGTCTCGGTGGGTTAGAATCTGCAGCAGCAGTTGGTATAACTGCCAGGTCAGCACTCTGCAAGGTCACATGTAATGTGATTTTTTTTTCTTGTCCCTTTGTAGTTGCATGGTTCACACATGTAAAGCCTGTAACTGCATTACTCTCTCAGCAGCTTTGTGCCTTTTTTTTTCTCATGCCCTGCTTCCGATTGCATTACAGAAAGGTCCTTCTATTATTCAATAGTTTCCTAGATCTGATTCCACATAGTCAGGCTTTCTATTATTTACGAAGTAGACATGATACAGTATGAGAGCTGGAAAGCTCCCTCACAGTGCATTCCAGGAACTTGAGTCAAATATCATAAACTGTGTGGGACTAATGCTCTTTTTTTAAGAACATATATGCATTCCACTATTCTTCCCATGTGCAGTAATTTGAGTGTCATGGGAATCATCAAGCATGACACCTCATTTTCAGGGATGTCACAGAGCTAATGCTGACTGGCTGCTTTCATTGGGCCCCGGTGGGAAAAGGATGAGACAGAGCTTTAGACGATGTGTCCATTCATCACTGTTGTAGCCTAGGAGAAGAGCAGCACAGAGGTTAGACCTCCATTCTGCATTGCTGTCCTTGGGTTGCTATAGCAACCGGTAGATTTGCTCCCTGCTGCTGTTTGGCAAAAATATACGTCAAAAAGTCAAAGGTTTTAGGTAATACCTCAATCTGAAATGTGATGGAATTATATGATGAAAACAAACGTTTCTGGTTATCAGGGCTTTTGAGATGCCCTTGTCTGAATTTTACCCAGAATCCCTCAGAAATCTCTGCTGCCCTTCTCTGGCTGCTTATTGTTCCCAGGTAGATAAATCCTGTTCCCTGTCCTGGTAATTTTCAAGCCCCACTCCTCCCACTTCAACCTCTCTCTGGGCCTCCTGTGGGTAATGACAGGGATTATACATTAGATGGCACTGACCTGCAATCCAAACCACATTTTATGCACACATTATACAGTAGTATTTATTTACGTACACAGTCCATTTCCATTGTAAAACACACTTATACTGTGTTGTATAATGAATTGGTGAGATTTTGTATAAAACCGCTCAAAACCAGATGTACATCATTTTGCAATTGGTATTGCATTTAAAAATCAGGATTAACTAAATAATTAAGTTAATAAATTAATTTAAAATGAATGTAACTTAACTTAATGTAAGTCTAGATATTGTACTTACTGAAATGTTCCACTTCAAACACTTTATTTTTAGTGTTTAAAGAAAAGAGGAAACGGCATGTACTGGTAATCCAAAGAGTATAGTACTGCAGGGATACTTTGTGGAATTTGGTTTTACTAATAATAAAAAAGTAAATGCAGTTCAATATTTTTTTCTCCAAGGAGTGTTGCCTGATCCTCTAGCTCAACACTGCTCACGCCTCTTCTTGTCACACACTGTTCTGGCTTAAAACAGGAATTACATCACACCTTCCAATCCTCCAGCTTCCTCACTTGATGTGTGTCTTTGTCTTCACCGTGTCATTAATTGTCTAATGTGCTGCTGTTCTTCTCACTTTCTGCTAAATTTAAAGGTGGTGAGCCGCAGTCCTCTACGAGGATTTACTCTGACTCTGAAGCTGTCGCACGAGACTCTCTGAGAGACTCCTTCCTCACCGCGGTAACGACTCTTGGTTCATCTGGCCTTCCCTGGTTTTGGGAGCAGAACTCCTTCTCACCTCCTCTTATCAAAGATGACTCCAAGCATGTGACCACGACACTCGGCCGGTGCCATTTGACCTGCTGTTATGGATCCAAGAGTCAGCACACTTTGAATCAACACTCATCCAGGTACATCAGTACACACTTCCCTCCTAATGAATCGCTGACTTTCAATAAAGTATAGGCTTTTAACTGGAAACTGCTTTGCTCTCCTGGTACAGTGCAGTTTCTTGTGTGCTACAGACGTGTTCTTTTGTGGCAATGCATGGGATCTTTGTATTTCCATCAGTGGGTTGTTGTCTCATCTGATCACAAGGAGTAGTGAAACAGGAAGTGAGACCAGTTGTGTAAAGTCGTAGTTAGAACTGAAAGTACACACTACAGTGTAACACAGTTAAAACCAAACTCATTAGACCGTGCATGTTGCCTCTAATTGAACCCAGCAGTGCAGTTGCGAATATAAAAAGCTATGATTTGTATAGCTGTGTAGGCGTGATAAACACTGGTGTTTCGTAATACACACTCTCTCTGCAACCACAACTTGAAACCCGAGGGCCTTTGCTGATGAAATGATAATGATGAGTTTTTGTTTAAAAGAGGAATTTATGTCATGCAGGGTGAAAAAAATGAGAGTTTTTAGCAATGGCAAAAGCAGAAGGAAACAACACAAGACTATGAATAACCTGGATAAATATGTTGTTGGATATCGAGCTGATCACCAGGTTGCAAGTGGGACAATTATTGGATTGAAGGAGTTCCGAACATAGCCTTAGATTCGCAGACAAAGGAGAGCCATTTGTATAAAATATCATCTATGTGCACCTGTGTTAAAGTTTCTGGTTGTGTTGCCTAAACATTGTGTGTCTGTTCCTGCCTGTGTGCAAATCTTATCCCGATTTTGTTAGTCTGGAGTGTGTAGCAGTTTCGCTTCCATTTCCCTCCTGGAGCAGAGCAGCACAGGAAGCCTGGCTGGTTGGCTGGCCTCACAGGAAAGGAAACAGTCCCTATCTAACAGCAGATGGAGGACAGCATGTGCTTACACTGCAGAAGCACACACATACACACACACACAAACACCAATATACAAAGACACGTGAGTATGGAAGCTTTTAATAGAAGCGCAACCCATATCACGCCTAACAACAAGAAAGTGCAAATTTCATAGTCACTGGAATGAGACTTTGAGCCTTCGTTAGCATGTGTCCAAAGTAGTCAACCTTAAATTCAAGGATTTAAACTTTGACATTGAAAACACCTCTCTCTCACCCTGCTGTCACTGACACTCTGTCACCGCTTTTGGCTCCGCCTTGTTCCAGTGTGATCCAGTGTTTCTGATGTTCTGTCACACACCCACTCTGGTGAAAAGCTGTTAGCACTGGGACAGGTCTCGCTGTGAGTGCAGGCTTGTTTTGTAGAGTTTCTTTGGCAGCAGCACGTGCAAATTAGATGTTGTGTTTCCTTCTTTCAAGAGAGCAATAAATCCTCAGAGATTGTAGTCATTTGCTTTCTGTGCGTATGAGTAACAAGTGTCCCGTCTTTTCATTCTCGCAAAAGGTTGCTTTAGAAGCTTTAGGCAGCACGCATAGAATCCAAGTGAGTGCAAACATAGTCTTGCTTTGAAATGACTCTGCAGAAGTGCGGTGTTAACACAGGATTTAAAAAGTTTTAGACATTAGTTTGACATTTGGGTTTACACAGCATAATCACCCAGGAAATTACTGCCCATTTTGACCATGAAAATATCACTTGTTTTTTTCTACTTAACCTGTTGTTGCTGGCTGTGTGATATAGAAGCATAAAGGAGGGGCTGTTATTATGGAGCAGTGTGTGTGATGGTGTGGTTTCATGGCAGCCAGCGATGTGCGACAATTCTTGCTTCCATTCAGACAGTCAAGGGAACGTTTAGGAACTTGAGGACATGTCCTCAAATTCTTTTTGACAGAGGCGGTCTCTTCGTCCATGCAGTGGGGCTGCTCACTCATACCTCATGGTCCCACATCTCTCTTCTGGCCTCTCTCTCTTCCTCCCTCTGAGTCAAGTGGCTTTTTGTTCTCCCGCAGTGGTGCTTATCACTTGTTTCTCCACCGCTGGCCCCCTCCGCCTTTCTCCCGGGGAATAAAAAGGATATTTTTGGTGATGTATCTTTTCTGTTCTGCTCAGATCCCACAAGGATTGTGGTTATCTTAGTTTCCTTCTTCGTGTCTGGAAATAAATTGGCAGCTGTTGTTCAAAATCCACCTTTTCTCTCTCTTTCCCCTTTGGTCCAAAAGTGTATTTTGGTAGGCCTTTTGAGTCAGCTCTATTTTATAAAATGTTGAATATTTAATCATTAAAAACTTCAGGGGTTGTCATTGTTTTCTTCTTAAGTGAAGTGGCTTTTTGCCTGGTATTTCTCTGCTTGAATAGCCTGGTGTTTTTTAAACATCGTCACAGGAGGCA